GGCCTCTCCAGCACCTGTCCCCCGGCAGCATGCCGTGTGCCAGCCGTCGCCGCCGGTCCGGCGCGGCGCCAGCGCGACCTCCAGAGAGAGGGACGCCGATACCTTCTGGGTGCGAGAGGTGGGCTCACTGACAGCGCGCCGCGCGACCCCCAGAGAGAGGGACGCCGATACCTTCTGGGTGCGAGAGGTGGGCTCACTGACAGCGCGCCGGTCCCGCGGGACAGCCCCGGCGCGGCGCCAGCGCGACCTCCAGAGAGAGGGACGCCGATACCTTCTGGGTGCGAGAGGTGGGCTCACTGACAGCGCGCCGGTCCCGCGGGACAGCCCCGGCGTGCGGTGTCGGCCGCGGAGTGGTCGGATTGGTGCGCCGTCCTCCAGGGAGGCGCTGGTTTCAGGTTTGGTAGTTCAAGTTGGCGTTTCAGCGTGCGGCAGTTGGCAGGGACGGGGTTGGATCCATAGGTGAACTTGCCGAAGCATTGCACGGTCCAAATGAAAACAAACTGCTTTAGCTTCTCACATCTCAATGCATAAATCCAACAGCTGCCTGAAACGCAACACATAAACATCCACCATCACCAACATTTTGGTGCAACATCTGGTCTTCCAGCTTCCCTCTGGACGATAGGCAATCGTTCGGTCACAATCAAGAACATTAAAATACGCGAGGAGCGCTCATTAGTTAGCCTAACCCACATAGATTATGCAGAATCCATGAGTTTTTCATGAACCTACGTTGCGGTGTCATGTCGAACCCAGTAAGTGATAAGTATGGTAAAATTCTCGGAATCCATACATACCGATACTTATGCATGTGATACCATGTCAACTGGAATTACCCAGGCCGTTTTCTTTGAAAACGTTTCCACTCAAATGAAGTCTTCTAAATTACGGAGTTTTGAGACAGGTAGACCGCTAACGCTAGCGAGGAAAGTTGTCGCTCCCTCTATTCATTCCCTGTGACTGTCCGCCTCTCTCCGTCTCCTGTGCCTCCTTTGTCCGTCTTCTGCCCCCCCCCCGTCCGTCTCCTGTGTTCCCTTTGTCTGTCTTCTGCCCCCCCCCCGTCCGTCTCCTGTGCCCCTTCTTTCCGTTCCCTGTGCCCCCATCTCGATCCGTCCCCGGTGGCCGCCGTTCCGCTCCGCCAGTGTCCGGCCCGGCTGATCCTCCGGTGATCCGTGCAGCCACCGTGTTGACTCGGCGCCCGTTAGCAGCTCGGTCCGGCACCCGGAGCCTCGGTGACCGGCCATCACGGAGACATTAAGTTGCCGCTCTGAGGCTGGTGGTCCGTCGACGGCCGGCATCACTGGTGAGCCGCTCACGGCCGGATCAGTGCCGCTGATCGCGCCCGATGGCCAGTTAACTAATGGCCAATGACTTACGGCTGATCGACGAGGATCGCGCCGGCCAATGCCACTTACGTCGGGCGCTCGCTAAGGTCCGCGCAGTGATGATCCTTGTTCGGACTCCCGGTGGTCTAAACTGTTTCGGTTCCTGCGTTGTGCGGTAAGGGCCCGTGGTGGACATGCCATAGCAGCCCACGGACCGTCTGTGGAGTAGATGTGAGCTGCGATATCTCCAGCGGCTGGAACTTTCAGCATGTTGTCCGCGCCGCACGTTGCGGATTGGGAGGCGATGACCTGATTGTCAGGTGGACTATGCAGAGGCTCGCGGCTGGAGAAACCAAACAGCCAGGTCAGGAGGAACCCTACGGTTGGCCGTGATCTGTCTGTGGAACTGGAAGCCCACCGCCTGTGGCCGTATTCACAATCACGGGTTAAGGGTAGGGGTAGGAGTAACGGTAACGAGTTATTTTTGTGGCCGTATTCACAATGGAAGTTTACCCCTGATGGTCGCCCGGCGCCACGCAGACGGCACGTGGCCTGCGTAGTGACCTTGCAGAATGAAGAAGAGTCGCGACTGATCGTGATCAGACAGATGACGAAGGTGTGGCCAAGCTGTGAGATCTGAGCCCGGAGCCGTGCCGTCCTCACCCAGTGGTGTGGCGTCGAAACGGCTAGCTAACTACGGTTTAGCTGATGGAAACGACCAGTGAAAGCGTGAGAAGAGGATGCTGCTTAACATATCCTGCGTCTGTATACGTGGGTGAAGTGGTGGTCACCAGAGGAGCGAAGTGGGACCCACAGGTGTCGCCGGGGACCGTCAGGCTGACCGACCAGGGAACGCTGGCCATTGGCCAACTGACAAGTGACGGCTGAGGCACTCCGCTGTCCGCTGACCCGTGTGACCACCTGTTCGTCTGTCCGCCCGTGCATCCTCTCCATTTTCGTTTATTTACTTCCCAGGTGCATACTGATGCATGGAATTTGTTTAACGCGGGCTATAAGTGAAAACCACCAAGGGATCTCAATCTGAGTCTATTTCCCTTTATACACCATAGTCCGTGCCTGTCGGGCATTCCATGTCCCTGAATCTGTTCCTCCGGCAGCACGTTTCTGTATGTACGGCCGTCTGTTCTGACCATTTGTACAGGTATGTGTGGTTATCAATAACTACTTGGTATTCCGTTTATCCACTCCCGTACAGCCGTGTTCTGTCCGTGTCTTTCCGTGCTGCGGTGCACGGGCGGCGGCTGCTGGTCGGCCGGTCCGCCCGACACCTAATTATGCAGCGCGCCATCGGAGGCGGCCGGCCGTGCTGAGAGCTCTCCCATTTGGACCAGTCATCTGCGCCGCTGCCGGCCCACACAATCCGGCCCTATGTTACACACGAGAAATGAGAGGCTCCCGACCGACCTCGCCCGCCGCCGCCCGGCCCCGACAGATCAAATGCCGACTCATTTGTAGTCGGTGGAGGGAGGGAGGGAGGGAGGGCCTCGCTGTCCCGCTCCTCCAGGGCTGCCGGGAGGACGGACGGCCGCGGCGGCTCCCTACGCACATTGTCAGCGCGGCCCTCAGCCCGGCGCCTCTCCACTCTACTTTGTTTCTTCCGCAGCGAGCCGGCGAGTTCCGGTAGTTTTCTGTTGTTTGGCTGCGAGGAGTGCGCGCGGTATGGAGACTAACAATGCCCGGCCAAGTTAGATCCGGCGTTTTCTCTCCACCGTCGTCATTTGTTGGCGCCGCGTCAATCTGTTGGTGCGGTATAATGCCGACGACGAGGGAGTTCGTCTCCCGGCTGTATCGCGTTTGATGATCCGGGACCGGGTGCGATGGATTTCTGAGCTCTCCGCAATGGTGACCTGGATCCTCCCGATCGTTGTGTGTGTCGGCCTGCCACCGGGGGCGATATCGGCCATGGGATCCGCCCGATGGGTTGGTGTTATTAGTAGACGCTGCTGATGGCCGATCACGGGAACCTGCGACCGGGAACCAGCGACTTTCCTGAAACAGTCAACACGATGCGATGTATAACAATGTGCACTGTGCAGTGTTTTTTTCTCCTCTGCCTGTAGTAGCTAAGACGCCGAGATCTGCACAGGGATGGTCCGCTCAACCTATGTTCTTTCTGCAACTAAGCGGTAGCCTATGGGAAGGTGACCCTCGCTGCTCGCACAAATTCTATCACAAGGGAGTGATTGTGAATCACCATGTTTACTGGGTCCTTGCCTGGGGGCCCATCTACGGTGGGCGGACCTGACGTGGGTGCTACTGGCGACCACCTACCGACCCGGGCCACTGCCAGCGCGGAGATCCGGGCGGCCGGCTGCGGCCGGCTGCGGCTGGCTCACGGCGCGGCTTACGGCGGCCGTCAGCGGTCAGTTTACGAGCGCGCCGTCGTGATGAGGTGGCCAGACGGCGCTATACGACGGCCGCGCCGGACCCACTCACACCCACGGCACGGACGGTGGACAGAGTGACCCGACACACACGGCGCGGGCCGTGGACAGAGTGACCCGACACACACGGCGCGGGCTGACCCTGCTACACGGCAGGGGAGTGACCCTGCTACATTGCACGGGCTGACCCTGCTACACGGCACGAGCTGTAGGCGGAGTGACCTGACACATGGTGCGGGCTGACCTCGCTACATCGCAAGGGAGCAAATCTGCTATACGACACGGGCTGTGGACAGATCAACCCTGTGCGCACGGCACGGGGCGACAGTCCGTGACCCGCTACATGGCACGGACTGAGCTGGCCACAGGGCACGGGATGACCTGTCACGGGTTGACGGCACCGATTGCCCGAGCTGAGCAGCCACAGCCACCAGACCAAATATCGCTGGAGCCGGTGCGCCGAGTGGCACCACAACTTTGAACATCATGCAGAGTGGCATGGCAACACTGATTTTGATGGACGGGACTTCTCATATCCTTGATGGGATAACTTCACGGACATCCATCCAACCCCCCATCCAACCAAAAGACTAGAACCCTAGCAGCAATGTGCAACAGGAGAATGCTGGTTGCATCTAGGTTAGCTCCAAAGTTCATGCCGACTTTTCTGGCAATTCGCAAGAAAAAGGTTCGGGAAATAGGTTGCACCATTAATGAATAGATAGATTACACAATCAATGGAATCCAATTTAGTGAGCCCTGTGCCCCTGCCTACTTACCGTATTTAGGGAAGCAGCGTACAGATCATCGCGAGCACTCCTCTGTGACCTGACCTGACCTGACCTGACCTGACCTTGTACAAGGTTATGAGTTGCTTTACTGTCACTATCGGTGCCGTTGTGCGTTTGCCTGCTCGCTACACGCCTCAAGTCGCTGTGAGTGCGCCCGTACTCGGGTTTTCGGAGGCGCGCTCCCCCAGCGGGCGGGGCTGGCGGCGTCAAGTCACTCTCGGCTGAGCCATTGCTCCAATTACACCCAATTGGATAACAGGAGCGGCTGAGACGGCCGGCAGCGCGCGCTCCGTCTCTGCCGAGCTCGACAGGACGACACCGCCGACCCGACGACCCGCCCCGCCCCGCCCCGCCCCGCCCCGCCCCGCCCCGGCTCGGGAGTGTCTCTAGGGCTGTCCTCAGAGGGGCCTCCGCTCGGCCCGGAGCCGGCCGTGCTGAGCCGCTCCTGTCTCTAACGCCCACTGCCCTGTGTCCCGCAGAAAATGCACGTGCTGGAGAAGTGTATGAACGACGTGGAGGAGCGTGTGTGCGCGGCGGAGGCGGCGCGCGGCAGCTGGAGCGACGACGGCGTCACCACGGACGGCGACGTGACGCAGTACAAGCAGATCAGCAGCCAGCTGGTGGGCGCCCAGCGCGGCCTGGACGACATCAACGACCAGGCGGCACGGCTGGCCGCCAACAGGTCAGTTACGTCGCAGTCAGACCTGCAGCTGGTCAGTCAGATAACCCTCAGAATCAGATCCCACAATATTCGATCGTTCAGCTGTGTTGTGATTGTTTTTCAGTGAGGGTCTGAGCAAAATAGAGTTGTGTTGTGGTTCCAAATCATGTTATGAATCGTGTGTTTTCTCGGAGTCACGTCTGTCGATGTGTTTCGTCCATCATGTATAAGAACTGACCTGTGATCTGGGACCACATACCTTCTGACTCCCAGCTTCCCTCTGACGCCGCCCCTCCCGTCCCTCAGCGTGCCGCTGAACTCTGCGCAGCTGTCGCGGCTGGAGTCGCTGAACGGCCGCATGAAGTCTCTGACGGCCGCGATGGACGAGCGGTACCGGCAGGTGGCCGGTGGCCGTCCGCCGGCGCCGCACGCCGCCGACGGCTTCCTGGGCCGCTCGGTGGAGCCGCCGTGGGAGCGTGGCACGGCCGCCAACCACGTGCCTTACTACATGAACCACAGCACGCAGCGCACCCAGTGGGACCACCCGGCGCTGGCCGAGCTGATGCACGGCATGGCCCAGCTCAACACGGTCCGCTTCTCGGCCTACCGCACCTCGCTGAAGCTGCGCCGGCTGCAGCGGCGGCTCGCGCTGCACCACCTGCCGCTCGCACACGCTGTGGAAGCGTTCGACGGCCACGGTCTGCGCGCCCAGAACGACAAGCTGATCGACGTGCCGGACATGCTGACCGTGCTGGCCACGCTGTACGAGACGATCGCGGCAGAGAGCAACGACCAGGTGGACATGCCGGTGTGTCTGGACCTCTGCCTCAACTGGCTGCTTAACGTCTACGACAGGTGAGCGGCAGGCGGGCCACCTGGGCGCACTCAGCCGGCCCTTTTACCGGGCTGTCCCGCCCTCCAAACGGCTCGCTGTAGTATGTCGACCCCGCCCCTCACTACTCACGGTCCGTCTGAGGCTCCGCCGCGGCCGCGCGGGGCGGCGCCACTCTCTATATTCAATGAGCGGCGCGGAGAGAGGTGCGTGAGGCGGCCAGGGTGGGACCGAGACGGCAGGCGTCCCGCCGCGCCGCCGCTGTAAAACTCTGTTATACGGGAGGTGCGCGGGCTGTTTACATATTCGGGACTTATATACAGACTGGGGCTCAGGAGGAGACGCGGTGGTGTGGGGCTGGGCAATCAATATACATTATGGAGACTGACTACATTGATAATGAATGAGCGTTTGAACTGGCTGGTTTGCCTCTCGTGTCACCATGTTGAACTAGGTGTCGAGGAGAGACATTGTGTTAATTCTGGAAGGTTGATGATTTCTGCTGTTGTTTCCGCTCTGGCCTTTTCCTGGCTGGATGGCAGCCTTACAAACCGTTATATAACAGTCTGTTGAAATGCATCCATGATTAATATAAGGAAAACCGTAAACAAGCACAGCAGCTACATGTGTTCGGGGTTATTGTTCGCTTTTTATTGATGTCCATTAGTGCGCCATTTATGACTAGGTGTTTTTTTTTAACGCAAAACTAGTTGTGGTTTGAAGTTTATTTTTTATAACGCCATAAAAGCTGTGTAACAGTTAATATGAAGTGTCGGCGTTGTCCATCGGTCGTTTACCGTTATTTGCGATCTCGTGTCAGTCTATCACTGGCGGCGGCCGTCGGTCCACTGACCGCCCTGCCGTCCAAAGGCAAAAACGCATATGTCGGGTCATGACCTGACCCGACATATGCGGTTTTGCCTTTGGACGGCAGCGCCCTTGACCGCTCCTGACCACCGCGCGCCCTCTGTCTCACAGCCAGCGTACGGGTCAGCTATGAGTGCTCTCGTTCAAAGTCGGTATCGTGGCGGTGCTCGGTAGTTCTGTTACTGACCGGTGTTCCTCTGTCTCACAGCCAGCGGACGGGGCAGCTGCGGGTGCTCTCGTTCAAAGTCGGTATCGTGGCGCTCTCCAAGGGTCACCTGGAGGAGAAATACCGCTGTGAGTACTGACCGGTGCATTGGGGGGCCAGACGGGCGTCGTGTAACCTTAGTCATCCGTTTTCGACTACGGATGTTCTAAGGTAACGAGTCATTGGTTAACTTAGAGATTTGTGATTGTTTGTGATCATTATCCCGTGAAGTACCTTGTGGGTTCAGTGCAAATCGCTGTTGATTAATAGTTACCGGTTTGGACATATCGCTGGCTCATTTTTGTACCTGGTGTGCCCTTGTCCCACGGCGCCCCCTCCCTCTGATCTCCCAGCATGCAGCTGCGCCCTCATCTGACGCTCTCTGTGCCCCTCTCCAGACATGTTCCGGTTGATCGCTGATCCGCAGCGCCAGGCCGACCAGCGCAAGCTGGGCCTGCTGCTGCACGACCTGATCCAGCTGCCGCGTCAGCTGGGCGAGGTGGCCGCGTTCGGCGGCTCCAACATCGAGCCGTCGGTGCGCAGCTGCTTCCAGCAGGCGGGCGCTGAGCGCGAGACGATCGAGGCCGTCCACCTGCTGGCTTGGCTGCGCGCCGAGCCGCAGAGCGTCGTCTGGCTGCCGGTGCTGCACCGGGTGGCCGGCGCCGAGCGCGCCCGCCACCAGGCCAAGTGCAACGTCTGCAAGGAGTACCCCATCATCGGCTTCAGGTGCGCGCCCGGGTGGGGGTCGGATGCGCCGGACCTGAACGTGGGTAGGACTGCTTTCTTGTTTCACTGGCCACACGGCTATAATGCCAAACTACGATGCGGTTTAGCTGGGCGTTTAGCTAATGAATCGTCTCCCGTCCGGGATCCGGGATTACGCTCTTGGGCCGTGGAAAATAATTTTACAAATTGCTTTATTTTAGTAGTATGACGGGCATCTAGCAACCACAAGATGAGAAGGACACGACTGCGGTCAGAGCTGGGTATCCACATCTAATTAATGCAAGCTGAACTGCATCCAGTACTGTTAAAGTCTATTCACGCCACTTGTAAGAGCTAACCGCTCGGGCCTTGTTTCCAGCCCTATTCAGGTGACGTAACTCCCCTTCTCTCTTCAGGTACCGGTGTCTCAAGTGCTTCAACTTCGACATGTGCCAAGAGTGCTTCTTCACCGGGCGCGTCTCCAAGAGTCACAAGTTGACGCATCCGATGCACGAGTACTGTACTGAGGTAAGTGGCGCGCCCTACCGCCGCCCGTCTGTCCTCCCGGATCGTCGACAGGTTCAGTGTGCGTGAAATGATCGCTGTTTCAGACTGCGTATTGTGACCACTGGCAGTGCCGGTCTGGAGTTTATGGGAGAGCCGTAGGCTCACTGTCCCACTGACGTAATTAACTTTGATATGATAAATCTGGTGGTTTTTGGTCACTAGTGGTCTTCTAGCGGTCTTTTTTTCTGGACCCAATTTTTATCAATTTAGCCCCATCAACTTAGCCCCCACCCCAATCATTGAATGATATATGGAGTCTGAGCGCAAGGACACGATGAGCGAAGCGTGGTGCGCACTGCGCAGGCCCTGACCTCTCCGTGCATTTGGGGAATCGGCTAAACAGGAAAAGTTGTTGGCCTTATGATGGACACAGCCCCACGATTTCAACTGGCCTATAATGAAAAGTACGACTGAAACGACTGAAAACTATCCTAATCATGAATGATCAGTGAAAAGGGAAGCGATTTTAACCGGGCTCGCATCACCGAGGGTCGGCTCAGGAGACGGACAATCTCCCCAGAGGTTCATTACATAGGGGGACCATGTAACATACCTTTATTCCCCCTCTCCTCCGACAGAGCTCATCCAGTGACGACATCAAGGACTTCACCAAGTCGCTGCGTAACAAGTTCAAGTCGAAGCGCTACTTCAAGAAGCACCCTAAGCTGGGTTACCTGCCGGTGCAGACTGTGTTGGAGGTAAGTCGCGGTCAACTCGCGGTGCAGTTGTTTCGTGAAATGAAGGGAGATTGAGAACTGATGATAGGTAGGACGTAATGTTTGATAGGTAATGTGTGAAATAAGCTGCTGAGCCCTGTTACCAATGGCTACCAATTCCTTTTCACTGTGCCTCTATGGCCTGTATGTTTGTTAGTGCTCACTGTTGTATAGCGAGATTTGTCTGGGCGTGATGTATCGGTCGCCGCGTCTAACCCCACCGTTTCTCCAGGGGGACGCCCTGGAGTCGCCGACCGCCTCCCCGCAGCACCAGTCACCCGAGAGGGGGCACATGTTCAACAGCTCGCGCTTCTCCGACACCGACGTGCACAACTTCTCCACCCCAGAGAGGTGAGGCTTCCTGCGGCCTGTGCTGTCACAGCAACTATGTGCTCCCCTCTCTTGACGGAAGGAAGGGAAAATGTTAGGAGTTCTGCTCGAGGTCTATAGGGACTGGTGTAAGATGTTAATGAGTTGCGCTGGTCTACAGCCCATGCCTGTCACGGATGTCAGCCTCAGCCCTCTGACCTCGCCTCTCCCTCCATTTTATTTCAGCGAGGACGAGCACCAACTCATCATGCAGTACTGCCACAGTCTGAACACCAGTAACGGCTGTGCGTCGGGCGGCGGCAGCGGCGGCGGCGGCGGCGCGGCCGTGCCCTGCAGCCCCGTGCAGCTGGTGCGCGAGATCGACGGCAGCCAGCGCCACCAGCTGGAGACCATGATCAGAGAGCTGGAGGACGAGAACAAGTGTCTGCAGGCCGAGTACCAGCGTCTGCGCAGCGCTGGCCCGGCGCCCGCTGAGCTGCCGGCCGGGCCGCGCGACCGCGAGATGCTGACCGAGGCGCGCCTGCTGCGGCAACACAAGGGCAGACTGGAGACGCGCATGCAGGTGCTGGAAGAGCACAACCGCCAGCTGGAGCAGCAGCTGAGCAAGCTGCGCCGCCTGCTGGACGAGGTAGGCAGGCCGTTTGACCGGTGACTGGTAACTCAGACAGCTCCTGCCCGGTCCTGCCTTAGCTGCCGGTGTCTGCTCATAGTTACGATTAATTTGAAAATGATATAAGGTTTCTGGTTTGCATTTTTAACTATTGTCAGCTACCATCTGCGACGTGAACGTGACGAAATTGCGCTTTATCATGATGCTTTATCATGGCTCAGCTGTCAAACGGCTTGCTATGTTCGGACTGTTTCGTGAGGTACTATGCGTGCCTGTTGTCTCAATGTAATAATTGGTCTGTATGTGTCACACTTTCCGTCTTGTCTGTCAGGGCGGCGGCGGCAGCGGCAGCCTCTCCCGCACTGGGACCCTGCAGACCCGCTCAGTGACTGCCTCCCAGCTGGCCACAGACTCGCCAGCGCGCGCCAACGGCGGATCACTGCCCCGGCAAGGTCAGTAGAGCGGCCGGCCGTGGTTGGAGGGAAGCTGTTGGTGGTGGTGGTGGTGGTGGTGGTGGTGGTGGTGGTGGTGGTGGTGGTGGTGGTGGTGGTGGTGGTGGTGGTGCTGTTGGTGAGGGTATTAGGGCGGGGGTGGTGCTGGTTCTCTCCTATCTGCTAGTCGCTGTGTGGCTTCCTTTTATGTTTGTGTGTGCCTCACACTCGTGGTGCGGGCCTAATATTGGGTCTATGTATGGCACTTGTTCTTTTTTTCTGGTTCCGCTTGGGTGCTCTTATAAGCGTAAGTTATTTGTGAATAGTGCACATTGGTGTAAGTTCTTCGTGTTGGTGCCGCTGCTGTTGTTGGTGCCTGGTGTTGTCTCGCTGTGCGCGGCTCCAGTGGTGTGAGCGGTGCGGCGCGCTGTGACCGCAGGCTCCCAGCGCGGCGGCCACGAGCCGTCCCCTCAGCGGTTCCCGCCGCCGGCTCCCGAGTACGGTGCGCGCGCCAGCCTCGAGCGCCAGGTGCGCCGGCTCTCGGTCGGCCGAGAGATGCGCGAGCTGCACGAGCTGCGCAGCTACGTGCGGCCCGACTACCCGCGGCCCGACGACCTGGCGCTGCCGACCAGCGGGAGACCGCCGCCGGCTCCCGTCTACAACCCTCTGGTGCACGCCCACCCCCGGCCCGCCGACTACGTGGGCAACCTGTTCTCATACGCAGGTAGAGCGGCGACGGCGGACGGCGGGCTACCGCCCTCCCGGAGAGCAGCCCGGCCGGCCGGACTGCCTGTGACCCCCGCCCGGCCGGCCTGCCGACTGCCTGTGACATAGCCCGGCCGGGCTCCTAGACAGGCGTGCAGTGGTTTGGCTTGAGTCGTCCGTAGTTGCACCCGCCCCGTACCATCTGGGCCCAGATGGCGCCCCCAATGCCCTGACGCTGAACATTGAGCATGTGCCAGTTGTTCGCCTTCCTGTAGTGAAGACTCGAAGAGTGACCTGCCCTGTATATAGCTCAGCATGGTTTGATCGGTGATTGACGCGGTCGTGCCGTTTGTGTGGTGACGACGGGGAGGGGATGCTCTGTTGGCTGTTGCGGCCTATACGTCAACTCTGAGGCGGCAGAGGAGTGGCCGGCCGACCGGCCGCTCTACCGCCGTCTGGCGTATGCATGCCGTTGGACACCTGTTTCAGTTTATATCTGGCCGAGCTGTAATGATGACTGAAGATCGATGCGGTATTCCACAAATCTCCATACTTTTGCGGCATGTTTTAGGTCTTAGAAGTACGCAATTCAGAGAGCTGCATATGGCACGCATGTTTGTACACATCGACCGTCTCGTATCTGACCGGATGTTTTATAACCCCCGATCTTAGGCTTTGCATCCGTGTGATAACCTTTGATTTTGTAATGTATGTGATCGCTGTGCATGCGTCTCGCCTACAGACATCACCGTTTCGTTGCTTGACATTCGATCTGAATTGTACGTTTAAAGGGCAGGGCAGCTGTGTGAACTTTCGCCAAGCTAAGGAAGAAAAATTCGTCTGTTACCAGCCATTTTTCGGTCTGCTCTCCGTATTTTGTTTATCAGTCATCCGTCAAGCAGCCGCCGTGGGGCCCATAGCAGACCATTGCACTCCATCAGTGGCGTAGGGTGACGCTGCTCTGGTAACCTCTCTAACCGTTGTCTTCTATTCCGCAGGAGACCTGGGTAAAGCAGTCGGCGAGCTGGTCAACGTGATGACGGACGAAGAGCCATCTCCCGAGGAGCGACCAAAGCAGTAGTTGCGGCTGCTGCCGCCGAGTGGCGCTGTCGGCCGCGCCCGGCGCATGTTGTTGGACTGTTACTAATCTTTGGTGTCCTCTTATGTGCAAACTTTGATACGATGAAGTGTTGAGGCGTCATGTGGCATATCACGTACAATATCACAGCTAAACTTGCTTCCAATCACCACATATCGCGGCCATGCGCGCCGTGCCGGTGCGAGTTCGGCGTGCCGAGGGCACCGGGCGGGTCAGACTGACCGTCAGAAGATACAACACTCACACAGACACACATACACACACGTGCGTGCACAGCGAATGGGAGAGTGTGAGATAGAGGCCGCCTGTCGCGGCGGCGGCCGACGCCAGAGATTTCAATAATTTTGTAATAGCTTGCGCAGTTATCACCACTATAATGATAGTCTGTTTATTTATGTGCGTAGTGAGCTTGCTAGCGGACCCAATGGAGAACAAATAATGTGCTAGAAGATCATTTTAATCTCATTGACATGATTCCCGGAGCTGTACTGAGGTGAATCGTTGGACGTTGTTGATTACTTTTATTTCCTGCGACCGGTCTCCCAGAGAATGAAATAAATCGTCACAGATGATTGGTGCGTTTGAGAACGATGGCTCTTGTTTTCTTTATTAGTCCTACGGGTAGAAACATGTTCGAAGCGTTTTCACGCCACAGCTTTGTAGGTTTTATGCAGCTTTCTGGCTGCACGTTAGGCTGGCAGGTCCAAAAGAAAAGAAAGTTGAAAGTTAGTATTGGCGTTATTTTCCGGAGTTGCTTGTAAATACTCAACATGCCGTGTCTCGTAACGTCCCATTCTCATCATTGTCGACTTATCGTGTACCCATCTCGCCGGGTGTTTCTCGGTATTATTTTCGGTCATGTTCGGCCTTGCCTAGTCATGTTCAATCTATCTGTTCCGTTCCGTCTCTTTCGTTCCATCCCGTCTATTCCGTTCCGTTGTTCCCCTCCCTTCCGTCCCTTCTCTCTGTGTCGTCTGGCCTCTCGTTCGTCCGGTCCATGCCATTACTTCATAGTCGCTCTCTCATCTCCCAGTAGGTTTCTCCATCCCATTCCGTCAGTCGTCACATTATCTGCCCTGTCCTGGCACTCGCCCCCTTCCGGCCCCTCCGTTCTGTCCCGTGTCCCGTTCCATGCGGTCTCTCTCTCTCTCTCTCTCTCTCTCTCTCTCTCTCTCTCTCTCTCTCTCTCTCTCTCTCTCTCTCTATCTTCCCCCTTTTCGTTTTTCCGTTTCCATACGCTCGCGTGCTCATCCCCGGTGCCTGTGATCTGCTCGCTCCTCTTCTCTGTCTCTCTCGTCCCTCTCTCCACGTCGCTGTCGTCGGATCCGACTCGCCCCCGGCAGTCAGTCGGCGGCGGCTCGCCGTGGGGACAGCACGCCGCCGATGATCGGAGGGGGACGTGTGCGTGTCGTCTGTGCTGTCGTTAGGAGGGGCTGTGATAGAAGCGAGCCTTAGGTCAGAGGGAGGTGGCCCGAGGTCAAAGGCGTCAGTGAGAGCCGAGAGGTCATGGCCTTCGTTGAGGAATGACTGGAGATCAGAGGCATTTGTGCCGTTTAGATGTCGATAAGGTTAGCTCGAGATTAAAGACAGTCGTGGGAAGTGACGAAGTGAGGAGTCAGTGAGGGGTGACTACCGGAGATCGGAAACGGTGTTACGGGCTAGGCGGATCAGGCGACGCTCAGCGCTATTGCTAATCAACCATAGTGCTTGCTATTGTTGATCATTGCCCGGGACCAGGACCTGTGCCAACTGTGTTCGGGACAGGCTGTGCTCTGTGGCAGACGTATCTAATAGTCGTCCCAAGTCTGTGCTGTGGACAGGCTGAGTCCATCGGGCCGTCACCGCCTCCCCGTGCTACCGACTGACTTGAGAGTCCTGATCTTCACGCCTTTGAGAAGGTAATAATCATCGATTAGTAACGCCGTTACCGGCAAGCGCCAGTTGTGATCATTTTGAGTTTGACAGTAAATCGCCCAGGGTTTGCCGCTTGCCAGTGACCCATCCGAAGTTATAGTACCTAAACCACCCGCCGCCCGCGGTTAGGTCAGTAACGTACCGTATGCGTCGGGAGCCGGTACGGATTTCAGACCTCGGGGGTCAGGGGACGGTCAATATTCCTGGTCATCAATGTTGCTGGGCTTCGGTGTCATTCATAAATCATAGGCGTAACTATCGTACATACATACGTGCTGACGTGCAAGACTGCTAATGACTATTAAGAGTAATAATTCTGGAATTCTGTCCGCAGATGACCGGCCGGCCGCTGCCGATGCCGCTGCCACTACCGGTGCTGGTCCTGGTGCTGGTGTTGGTGCCGGCATCGTCACCGCTCTTCACCAGACCACCGCAGAAACGCACCACCGCTACTGTCGGTATGTCCTACCTATCAATGTCGGTAATGATTTGTCTATGATGTTATTTCCAATCTCAGATACTAAACGGTTTACAGATACGGTGCACAGACAATTCATATACGAGTATTAGGAGACACAGACAGCCATGGCCCATGGGACACACTAGCCACTCCCGACAGAAACATTCCCGGTGCCACCTTATCCTTCCTCCCAGTTTTGCGGCCGTCGTCAATCCTTCGATAATTGGAACTGCGACACCTTTCATAAATTTATGTCTGTCCCGGGCGTAAATTTTGTTCTGCTGTTCGGTGTTCCTCGTTTCGTAGATCGGCCGAGCAGTGAGCAGCTATGGAAATCGGCCGGGGTGCATCTCAAATCGACCGTGATGGGTCTCAGACTATTTGCATAATGTATCAGACCGTGCAGTGTCTCAAACCGGCTGTGGTGTGTCTCAGACGGGGATTCGTCTCACTCAGGTCCGGGCTGTGTCTCACTCAGGTCCGGGCTGTGTCTCACAGTCCGGGCTGTGTCTCACAGTCCGGGCTGTGTCTCACAGTCCGGGCTGTGTCTCACAGTCCGGGCTATGTCTCACAGTCCGGGCTGTGTCTCACAGTCCGGGCTATGTCTCACACAGACCGACCCTGTCTCACACAGACCGGGCTGTGACTCATTCATACCGGCCGTGTCTCAAATCGTATCGTCTCGGGCCATGCTTGATGGTATACTTCATACAGTGCCGCCTCATACGGTTGGCTCGGACCGTTCTGTCGCAGACCGGCTGTGCCGTGCGCCAGACCGACCATCCACACCAGCACTCCACTCCCCAGCTCGGCTCTCGGCAGCTCGGCCGTCCGTCCAACAGTCTCTCCCGGCAATAAAACAGCCGCCGCTGGCGCCTGCCGACGGCACTGCCGCAGCAGCGCACGCCAAATCGGCCCGGCCGGAAACGCTGACTGGCCGCGCCGCCGGAACCTGGCAGCGCGGCCGGTTTACGAGCGCTGCGGCCGCCGGCCGCGACGCGTTTTTACGGGACGACCGACGGCGCCGACACTGCCGCGCCGAGCCGCTGACGCCGGAAACGAACTGGTGGGTTTGGTGACATAACAGCGCCAATACCGACCGAAGTGATTGCATTACAAAACAGTCGTTAGTCGATCGACGGTGTCCGGGATCGTAAAACATGATTTGGAGAGAAACGAGAACGGTGCATTTGGCGACAGCCCGAGTTTGTCGGTTGGGAACGGAGCTGTTAGCATTTTTGTTCGGGTATCGGAAGGTCTGTCGGCGGAAACGTCCCGGTTTTCTCGGCAGGGACAGAGCTGCCGGCATATCGGCTGGCGCATCAACAAAAGTGCTGTCGGGGCGGTGTATCGGAGGAGACGGGCTGTCGACGTGCCTGTCGGTTATCACAGCCCACGGGGGCTGTCGACGAAGGCAGTGCTATCGGTGGAGACGGCGCTATCATCGAGGACGGCGCTGTCGGAGATTCCGCTGGCGACGGATGTTCACGCTGACAGATCACCTCCTGT